TCTGACAAAGATCTAATACCCAGAATCTACAAAGAACTTAAACAAATCTACAAGGAAAAAAAAATGATTGTATTAAAAAGTGGGCAAAGGGCATGAACAGACACTTCTCAAAAGAAAACATTCATTTGGCCAACAAACATAACAAAAAGAGCTCAACATCACTGATCATTAGAGAAATGCAAATCAAAACCACAATGAGATACCATCTCACTTCAGTAAGAATGACGATTATTAAAGTCAAGAAACAACAGATGCTGGTGAGCTTGGAGAGAAATAGGAATGCTTTTACACCGTTGGTGGGAATGCAAATTATTCCAGTTCTTTAAAAATATCAAGCTTTGGCCGGGTGCGGTGGCTCAAGCCTGTAATCCCAGCACTTTGGGAGGCCAAGACGGGTGGATCATGAGGTCAGGAGATCGAGACCATCCTGGTCAACATGGTGAAACCCCGTCTCTACTAAAAATACAAAAAGTTAGCTGGGCATGGTGGTGCGTGCCTGTAATCCCAGCTACTCAGGAGGCTGAGGCAGGAGAATTGCCTGAACCCAGGAGGCAGAAGTTGCAGTGAGCCGAGATCGCGCCACTGCACTCCAGCCTGGGTAACAAGAGCGGAACTCCATCTCAAAAAAAAAAAAAAAAAAAAAAAAAAAAATCAAGCTTTTTGTAAGGCTTATCTCATATCCTAGAGAATATTCCATGTACAACTGAGAAGAATACATATTTTCCTGTTGTTAGGTGAATTTTCTATTGATGCCTGTTAAGTCTAACTGGTTTATAGTGCCCTGTTAAAGTCTTCTTTTTTCTCATTGATCTTCTGCCTGTTTGGTCTATATAGTAGTGCCACCTTACCTGCAGAGGCCATGTTCCAAGAACCCTAGTGGATGCCTGAAACCACAGATAGTCCCAAACCCTATATACTATGTTTTTTTCTATATATACATACCCATGATAAAGTTTAACTTATAAATTAGGCACAGATTAATCATAACTAATAATAAAAGAAATTATTATAACAGTATGCTAGTATCACTACTGTTTAGCTTTGGGGATGTTTTAAAGTTAGATAAAGATTACTCACACACAAGCCTTGCAATCTAATAATGTAGATATCTACCAAGTGACTGATGGGCAGATAGCATATACAGTGTGAATACTCTTGACAAAAGGATGATTCACATCTTGGGCAGGATAGAGTAGGAAAGTGTGAGATTTCATCACACTACTCAGAAGATCACGCAATTTAAAATTTGTGAATTATTTCAGGAATTTCTTATTATATATGTTTGAACCACAGTTGACCATTGAAAGTGAAAGTGCAGATATGGGGACTACCATACATTATTGAAAGTGGAATATTGAAGTCTTTTACTGTTGAACTATTTCCTGCTTCATCTCTGTTCATTTTTATTTCATGTATTTTCATTCTGTTTTGTGTTTTAAGTGCATGTGCTTATAATTGTTATATCTTCTGATGCATTGAGCCTCTTAGTATTATAAAATGTCCCCCAACATCTCTTGCACACATTTCTCTTTTAAGGTCTAGTTTGTCTGATTATATATAGCCGTTCCAGCTTTCTTGTGGCTGCTGTTTGCATGATATGCTTTTTCTATCCTCTTACTTTCAATTTACTTGTCTCCTTGAATCTAAAATCTGTCTCCTATATGCATTATATAGTTGGATCTTATTTTTTTAATCCAGTCTGATCAGCTCTGCCTTTTGATTAGTTTGTTTAATCCATTAACATTTCATATTGTTATTAATCTTCTATTTTACTTTTTGTTTCAATATACCTCATGTCTTTTTGTTCCTCTGTACTTCCTTTATTGTTTTCTTTTGCAATCGGTGAATATTTTCCAATGTAAAATTTTAATTTCTTTAATGACTTTTTTCATCATATTTTTTGAGTTGTGCATGCAGTAGCTGCTCTAGGACTCAACATTTTTGCTATCCAAATCAGCTTCAGATGTATTTTACTAACTTAATTCTAGTAAAATATATAAATGTTACTTCTTTAGAGCATTATTCCTTTTTCCTCTTTTTATATGATTGTATACATATTATGTTTATAAATTTATAAACCCAACAACACATTGATATAATTATTGCTTTATAAAATGTTGTGACTTTTAAAGAAGCTGATAGAAGAAAGGAAAGCAATACATATTTATAGCTTTTGTTGTACCTGCCTTCTTATTTATCCTTTCTGGATTGTTGCATTTGTTTTTGTAGATTTGTGTTACCATGTGGAGTCATTTCCTTAGCTTAATATAGCTTTGTTCCCACCTACCTCTTTTGTGTGGCTATTGGCAAACGTATTACATTTCTATTACTTATAGGCCCAGCACTAACTTCTGTATCTATTGTTTTTTATAATTGCTTTTTAAAATCTGTTGAGACAAAAGGAGAAGAAATATGCATTTATACTGTTTTTATAATACATAATTACCTTTACTTGTACTATATGTTTTTTGATATGGATTCATATTAGCCTATAGGGTCATTGCCTTTTAATCTGAAGAATTCCTTTATTATTTCTTATAAGGTAGATCTCTTAGCAACCAATTTTCTCAGTATCTCAGAATGTCTTTATTTTGCCTTCATTTTTAAAAGATAGTTTTCCTAGATACAGGATTCTTAGTTAATAGTTTTTTTTTTTTGGTACACCTGGAATATGTCATCCCACTGCCACTGGCCTCCCTTGTTTGATAATAAAACAGCTGTTAATCTTGAGGTTCCCTTGTAAATTATGAGTTATTTTTCTCCTGCTGCTTTTAATATTTTCCATCTTATGACTTTTGGCATTTTTACTACGTATCTGTGGATCTCTGCATTTATCCTACTTGAAAGTCATTGAGCCTCCTGAATGTGTAGATTAATGCTTTTCAGTAAGTTTGGGACATTGTTGTTGTTGTTGTTGTTGTTGTTGAAACAGAGTCTTGCTCTGTTGCCCAGGCTGGAATGCAATGATTTGATCTCAGCTCACTGCAACCTCCACCTCCCAAGGGTTCAAGCGATTCTTCTGCCTCCGCCTTCCAAGTAGCTGGGATTATAGGCACCCACCACCACGCCCGGCTAATTTTTGTATTTTTGGTAGAGATGGGTTTCACCATGTTGGCCAGGCTGGTCTTAAACTCCCAACCTCAGGTGATCTGCCTGCTTCTCCCTCCCAAAGTGCTAGGATTACAGGCGTGAGTCACTGTGCTGGGCCAGCTTGAGAAGTTTTTAGGCATATATTTCTTCAGTATTTTCTCTGCTCCTTTTGCTTTACCTCTCCTTCCTATGCATATATTGGTATGCTTAATGGTGTTCCATATTTCTCTGAGGCATTTTCATTTTCTCTTTTCTTTGTCTTGCATATTCTGTTAGTGTCTTCAACTTTACTAATTCTTTCTCTTGCCAGTTTAAATCTGTTGAGAAGGAGTGACTATTTCGTTTCAGTTATTTTACTTACCAATTTCATAACTTCTATTTGGTTCTTTTAAATTTTTTTTTCTTTTTTATTGATACTCTGTATTCAACATGACCTTATCATCATTCCTTCCTTAATGTCTTTAATTATGGTTTTCTTTAGTTTCTTGACCATATTTATAATAGTTATTTTGAAGTCTTTGGTAAATCCAGTGCCTGGTCACTCTCATAGGCAGTTTTCTTGCCTGTTTTTCCCCCAGTGTATGTGTCATACTTTCCTGTTTCTGTGTATGTCTAATAATTTTTTTGTTGGAACCGAACATTTCAGACAATGCATTGTAGCAACTCTACCCTACCTTCTCTTATACTTCTTATGGCTATTTGTTTGTTTAATTACTGGCTAGATTGTTTTGGTGAAGTCTGTTTTAGTGAAGTCCCCACTTCAGTGCTAAACTTCCAATGTTGAGCTTCAGGGACTAAAGCCTTAGCCACCTCTTTCCCTGACCTCCCTGACCACCCATGGCTCTTAAGCTCCACTTACTGCCCATTGACTGTTTTATCGTTTTCAACAATGTCCTAGGGGCACAGATTGCTCTACAGACTAATCCAAGCAAAGGTAAGCTCCTTTGAAGGGATAGTTCTTGAGGTCAGTGTTTGAAGTTTATTATGAACCTAGGAAAGCTCCTGCAAGCTCTTTTCCCAGTTGTCTCTTGCAAACTAGCCAGCCTACAGTTTAGCCTATGTCTCAAATGAATCTACCAATCTACTCACAATTGCCTTTTACCACAACTTCTAGTTCTGATAGTGCCCTTGAGCTTGAACTTCTTCATGCTTTGTTGCAAATGAAGTTGGTTCCTTAGGGAGGAGATTAGGAGCTGTTTTAAGGCCTGCTTCTCTTCCCAGGCAGAATCCCTGAACCTTGGCCCTGGAGCTCAGGGTGGGGGCAATGGTGATTTTTCGAGTGACACCCTTGCTTTAGGAGCTGAGCATTCAGTAGAGGGGAGGTAGTAGCTTCCTGTCTTTTCAAGCTTGTCTCTCCCAATGTGAAACCACCACCTTACAAACCAAAGCAAGGGCAATTGGGATCCCAGCATTCTCACTGGTGCCATGCCAAAGGTGAAGCCTCTGTCTCACCAATCAGAGCTGGGCAGGAGAAGGGAGCCCCCACCCTTTGGCTATAGTTGCTGGCAACTTGGTCTTAGCAACAGTAGCTGGGGGCAGGATGAGAAATGCTGAAGTTATGCCCCTCCCAGGAAGACAGCCCTGTAACAGGGAGCCCTGTAGTCTTGACTACAGCAATCTGGAGTGGAGTCTCCATTTCACAGAGCTGGGAGTGGGGTGGGAGAAAGCAGTCTTGGTTCAAATACCATTGACTCTCAACTTTTTAATCTGATTTTTGTAGATTTTGTTGACTAGATGATTCTTCATTTGCTGCATGCTCTTGTGATCATTTCTAGATACATTAAAATATATGCAAAAATGTATCAGTGTTAGGGTATATCTAGTCCTTGTTACTTTGTTGTGGCCAGAAGCAAAAGTTCACATATTTCAGCTATTTTTGACCCAAATTTTTGTTTTATTTTTCACTTTAGGAGACAACCCACAAAGCCAGTATTTTATTGAATGGTAAACTTAAGGTAGAAAGCGGTCAGATTTATAAAAACCCAGTCACCTGGCTCAAGGATCTTCTGGGAGGCAACAGTTATGTGACATGGAATTATGCCTGGAATAAGGTAGGTCATTCTTAAGTTTATCTTAAGGAAATCTGAAAGATCTCCAAACTAGTTTTGTCATCATATGTTCATTCTGTATATGCTACATGCATATCATGCTGCATGCATATCACAGAATGAACACATCACTTTCTCCCACAAGTCCTGTTTGCCAGAATTCCCCATGGGCATGGTTGCATAGCTGACTGCACCTTCCCTTTCTTACTCCTTATCTAGTCTCCGAACTTTAATGTCTTTAATCTTCCCATTTCATCTCTTGAGGGATTTTAGGTCTTTGTAACTCTATATGGAAAATTTGGAACCACTGGTGTATTAGTAACTTAGTTAATATATGTTATTATTCTAATGAAGTAAAGAAAAATCTGCTAAATACAAAAGAAATGGGCAAGAGGCCTTAAGACCCACAGAAATTATCATGTATTTTTATGTTTGAACATGTCCTTATCCATGAATTGCTAGCCCTTCAAAATGAATTACTTTGATTTAGACCTCCTAGACTTAGTAGCCTCCCTCTCAGTTCTGGCTTCTGAGTTATAGGCCCAGTAATGACTGATGTTCTTGAGGTCTAGTGTTCATCTACCTCCAGATGTTCATGGTACCACTTCAGGGACAGTCTTAAAATGATTCTTCAGAAAAGTGTGAATCTTCAGACATCTGCCATGACTGTTTCAGAGACTAGAAGATACGCTCAGCCTCTACTAACCATTACAGTAAACCTCAGTGTACCAGTAATAGGAGGCATAGCTTTCTCTCCTCTTTTCTGTTTAACCCAAGTCTGCCCATCCTCTCTGCCAGTCCCTGTTGCTCCCCAAAGTCTACATTCTGTGTCCCAGATTCTGTGCCCCAACTCCGCATTCTGGTCTCCTACCTTGTTGGCAGGTGCATCTAGCACTGTTTCCGTTTCTTCACTTACATCAACACATTCTGGATTCTACCTGCTGTATAGTCTCTCTGACTTCTTATTTTCCTAAAGTTTGTTTTTATTTCCCTCTCCTGGAGTAATCAGGCCATCTGCTTTCAGTTCATCTTAGCTCCTTTGCCCAATCCATTCCATGGATTCTTAATTCATATCTGATTGTTAGTAATTAACATCTTGCCCATGAAAATCCCTTTTTGTTACAAGGTTTCTTAAACTTATGATAGATTATACTGCTCTGCTGAAACTGAATCTTTGCTCACAGTACAAATATCATACTGAATGCTGTAGCTTAGGTTCTTCTGAGCTCAACATGCCTATGACTATGCCTATGCTACAGTATGTCTGCTGATGACTCCATTTGCCTATTCTGTTTCTCCATGGGAACTACTGTTCTTTCCTGCCTTTGAACAGCTGGCTGTGACATCATTTGACCCTTACTCCGTACTAATGCCTCACTTACATATCTCATTGCCTCTAGTATTTTCTCATAGCCATGTCAATTAGAATTGTACATTTAGCACCTATGTGATAGAGAAGCCACATAAATGTGGGCACTAAAATTAGGGCAATTCTCAGATATAACATTCCTACAGATTATCTAAACAGGCTTATTTTCTTTAGATTGTCCAAAAAATGAAAACAGAGTTTTAAAAATTACTGCAGGCACTGATATACTTCTAGTAATTACTTCTAGTAAATATCCCAAGCTGAGAAACATTACTCTAGTGATTTTCTTTACAATATTTAAAAGACTCTTTTAAAGTTTCCCACAGAAACCTCTGCCTCTTCTTGTCTTGGAGTAACTCCTGAATTCAGTCACTTGCTGATGAAAGGAGCTTTTTGCTATGTGGGTAAATGTGAACATTTCTACTAACTAGTTCTGAGAGTGGTGGTGGGGGTGTGGGACTGGGAGTGGTTGGTGGTCAGGCAATGAATGCCAGAAGACTAGGCGTTGCCCTGCATCTGACAGAGCCAGTAGGTGAAGAGATGACTCAAACCTCCAACCCAAGCAGCTGATGCACAACTTTGCCAAGGAAATCCTGATGCTTACTCACAGAGGGCATCACTGACTTCTCTTCTGCAGCCTCCCAGCTGTTGGACAACATTCTGGTATGGCAGAGTGATTTGCAGGTGGGAGGCAGAGACCAAGCTAGTTCCTGGTTCCACTCTTTATATTATCTGGACAATGGTTTTCAATAACATTAGAATCACTTGAGGGCCTTTGGAAACTACTAGTGCCAGTAGACTCCAAGCCCATAGCTTCTGATCTAATAGTCTAGGTGAGGACCAAGTGGCAGTATTTTAAAAAGCATTCCAGGCAATTCTAATGTGCAGCCTCAGTAAGAATGATTGATCTAGGTCAAGTCATTTAACCTTTCTGAACCTCAACTTTCTTAGTATAAAATAAATAGAGCTAGGTGGTATCTAAAGACCCTTTCAACGTAGAGATTATGGAGCTTGAAGAGCACTGTATGGTTTATAAAGCAGTTTTACACAACAACTTTATGAGACAGAAAGATCAACTATTATTTCTCTTCATGGATGTGAAAACAAAGGTTTCAGAGGTTAAGTGACCTGATTTAGCCTCGAGGCCAGCAAGAACCAGGACTAGAACCTGACCTTCTGATTCCCTGTACATTATTTTCTGTATCTATAATGGCACAAGAGAGGCACACATTCCTTTCATTAGAAACAAGTTGCTCTGAACTCAAAAGATCACACAGTATCATCTAGCCACCTTTATGAATGTACGCAAAGCCTTAGTCATGTGCAGCAACTATTGCCCACTTCTGCAGGAAAAATGCCTTTCTGTGATACAATTGCAGTATGAAAATCATAAGAATCATAAGAATGGCAATGACAGTTTATTTTTGTAAACACTCAGCAGTGAATTACTGCAGATGAAATGTAGGCTGCTATTTTCAGCAGTGATTCAAGGAACACTAGACAGATCTCTTCTGCAAACATACTTCCCATCCAGACGCCTCACTGTATTTCCACCCTTTCCACTCCTTTGGATTTAGTGTTGACTTTTTTTCTGTGGTTACATTCACCCCCTACCCCCAGCATACTTTTTAAGAAAAATTCCTCTCACAATCATGATTAGGAATATCAAGATATGGAAAGGTTGGGGTGAGAGCATAGAAACTGCTGGAAATGGTTCATCTGGACAGACAGACAGCCTCATTCAGTCAATTACACTCTCAATGTGTCCTAAACCTCCTATGAACCCAGCTTCTACTCAGCTACATTTTAGAACAGAAAGAAGAAGGAAATGGTTAGAGATGCGGACCTCTTTTAAAAAACAAATATCCAGGAGTTTTGAATCCTGAAAATATAAATAATGTGAAGGTCTTTTTCTTGTCTCTAGCTACACAGAGTGTTGGGAGTGTGAAAAAACAAGAGTCTAGAATGGTGATGTTGGTACCATGAAGGTGAACTTCACCTGCATCATCATTTCCATACAGACAGCTTTTCCAAGGCAGTTTTTGTACTTTGAAACTACTTTCTGTCTTATATTCTGAATTCATAAAGAAATATTTTATTTGGGAAATATTTTTATTTTCTTAGTCACAATGTATTTTGTGTTACAATGAATTTAAAGGAAAACCTATTTTTTATTGGTTTCTTTGCTCTTTTTCCACCCTGAGATAAAAAGCAATTATTCTTTCCTCCTTATCCTCTTGGAGCAGTGAAACGTTGTTAAGACTGACTTCTTAAACCTTGTAATAGAATTAAAGTAGTCATTTGATCATCCATTAACAGATTTTTTTTTCTTTCTATTTTTTGTTGTTGTTTTTGTTGTTGTTGTTGTTTTTGAGCCAGAGTCTCACTCTGTTGCCCAGGCTGGAGTGCAATGGCCCAATCTCGGCTCACTGCAGCCTCTGCCTCCTAGGTTCAAGTGATTCTCCTGCCACAGCCTCCCAAGTAGCTGGGACTATAGGTATGCACAACCATGCCCAGCTAACTTTTTAAAAATTTTATTATTATTTTTAATTATACTTTAAATTCTGGGATACATGTGCAGAGCATGCAGGTTTGTTACATAGGTATACGTATGCCATGGTGGTTTGCTGTGCCCATCAACCCATCATCTACATTAGGTATTTCTCCTAATGCTATCCCTGCCCTAGCTCCCCACCTCCTGACAGGCCCTGGTGTGTGATATTCCCCTCCTTGTGTCCATGTGTTCTTATTGTTCAGCTTCCACTTATGAGTGAGAACTTGCAGTGTTTGGTTTTCTGTTCCTGTGTTAGTTTGCTGAGAATGATGGTTTGTAGCTTTATCCATGCCCTTGCAAAGGACATGAACGCATCCTTTTTATGGCTGCATAGTATTCCATGGTGTATATGTGCCACATTTTCTTTATACAGTCTTATCTCTCAGCATTTGGGTTCATTCCAAGTCATTGCTATTGTGAACAGTGCTGCAATAAACATACATGTGCATGTGTCTTTATAGTAGATTTATAATGCTTTGGGTATATACCCAGTAATGGGATTTCTGGGTTAAATGGTATTTCTGGTTCTAGATTCTTCAGGAATAGCCACACTGTCTTCCACAATGGTTGAACTAATTTACAGTTCCACCAACACTGTAAAAATGTCCCTATTTCTCCACATCCTCTCCATCATCTGTTGTCTCCTGAGTTTTAATGATCACCATTCAAATTGGAGTGAGATGGTATCTCATTGTGGTTTTGATTTGCATTTGTAATGACCAGTGACAATGAGCTTTTTTCATGCTTATTGGCCACATAAATGTCTTCTTTTGAGAAGTGTCTGTTCGTATCCTCTACCCACTTTTTGATGAGGTTGTTTGGTTTTTTTTCTTGTAAATTTGTTTTAAGTTCTTTGTAGATTCTGGATATTAGCCCTTTGTCAGATGGATAGATTGCAAAAGTTTTCTTCCATTTTGTAGGTTGCTTGTTCACTGCGATGATAGTGTCTTTTGCTTTACAGAAGCTCTTTAGTTTAATTAGATCCCATTTGTCAATTTTGGCTTTTGTTGCCATTGCTTTTGGTGTTATAGTCATGAAGTCCTTGCCTATGCCTATGTCTTGAATGGTATTGCCTAGGTT